TGGGTTTATACGCAATTATCCCCCCGCTCCCCACCCCCCCCTCCCCCCTCCCCCCAAAGCTCTGATAGTAGAAATATCAACCAACATAGTTGGTAGGGGGGGGGCGCCTACTACTACTACTACTACTACTACGACGACTACGACTAAGACGACGACGACGACGACGACTACTACTACTACTACTGCTGGCGAGTGCTGCTGGAACTCCAGCTGATGCAGGTGGCCATCCTCGACAACGGAGGCTCGGGCCCACATCCACCGGGATCTATACATCATATGTGTATATATATATGTATGTATATATGTATGTATATACATACATACGTACGTGCATACGTACGTAGGGCTTTGGGCAACGTGTTAGCATAGGAAACAGAATCTGGAAATGATTCAGGGTGATAATCTTCAGGGCGGGCTTTCAAGGCGTCAGGTTTTGACTCAGGCAATGGAAGCCGTCGACCGAACAACGACCGCTTGGGCATCCTTTGACCAACCCTTTGAGAGCCATGCGCCTGCTGAACTGTGACTTTTCTGCCGCGCGGCAAGGATTCCGTCGTTCAAGAGAAAGGGACCAAACTTTGTCCTCACGAACGTCATGGGTGGGTAGTCGACTTCGACCTCGAAGCCGTGGGCCTTCAGCCAGCTTCGTGTCTGAAGGTGAAGCACCGGCGAATGCGTCCCCACGTGGACCCGCCGCACGCTCCTCAGACGTTCTGACTTAGCTAAGACGTAGTAATGTAGTAGATACTGCCAGGCATAAGAATATATGTAGAACTTAGCAACATCGCTCTTGGCTAGCGGCAATAGAGAAAGAAATACAGCGGTGCTGCAGTTTATCTTGGGGAGAGACCCTTGGAGCTGCCAGGATCGGAAACAGAGATCTGTGGATGCGTTTGCAAGGCCATCTGAGCAGTTGTTTTGATGATCATACGAGGCTGGACTTGCACCGTGCACAAAACAACGACACTGGAAGGGTCTTGCTACTGCCTTGTAGTGCAAGAATATTAACTCTCAGACCTTGCTCTTGCACTGTCTCGCGCTGGCTTGGATGGAAATCTGTTCCTTCCCGCATCCCTCAACAAGAAACATGCTAATGAATGGGGTAGGGGGTAATCTCCGGTTGCCAGAACCATTTACAAGCATCTTTCCCAAACCTGCAAGCACATCTTGCACGACATGGGAAAGCTCTTGCATAGTCGAGGATGAATCAGAATTAAGAAAAATCAAGGCAGCTGCCCACGCAAATACAATAAAGGTGCTTTATGGTTCAAAGCGTCGGCAGAAGGTAGCTTTCCTGCGCCAGTTTCAGCTCTGCTCCTTGGATGTCAACGTGCAGCAGGTCGATGTGACCAAAAGCTTGAATGAGTCCATCCAGCAGCGCAGCATCTACAAAATGTTGGGTCAATGTGATGTTGCACAAGTCAGGAACCCCGTTGCGCTGCAGGTTCTCGAACGCTTGGATCATCGGAATCTGCGAATCAATCAGCACCACATGGCAACCAGCACTTCCAACCGGAAATCGCTGTCGGAAGGCTTTAACGGCCTTCAGTGACCAATGGCCAATGTTGGAGCCAGCCTCCACCACTATGAAAGGTGTCGTGGCGGCTGCAACTGCCTGCAGTAGTGAGATGCTTTCAAAATAATCTTCGCCAATCACAGGCCCCCATGCCACACCAGCACATTCCAGCCAACGCGTTATCTCCTGATTTGGATAAATCTCAGCAGAGCAGTTCACTTGGATATCTAGCCAGTCCAGGGCCATGCCGCCCCAGGCTGCCGGTCTTCTTGGGATTTGAGGCTTGTTGTGCCTGCAAGATGGGGACCATGCCTTTATCAATGGATGATGAGCAAAGCATCTTTTAGGCTCCCACGGGCTGTAGACAGCACAGGTATGTCCCTGCCTCGTGCACAGTTCAGTGTGATTTCTCAGAGACTTCAACAGACGTCCTCCCAAAAGACGATGCAGCCTTTTGTCACGCGCTGGTGGTGACTGCAGAGGGAACAAGGATCTCCAACGCCAATTGAGGTTCTCAAACAAGATAGCTTCCAATCCAGGGTGTATTGCAGGGTGTGTTCCATCCACAGGATACCTTGCTGTTAGTGATGCTGCGGCACAGGTCTCGTTCTTGTTTGACTTTTCGTGGTACAGCGCCACATTGCTAAACATGGCCATCGCCAGCATGGCCACCGAACACCTTGAAAGCTGATACTCCACCTCCACTGGCCCTTTGGGCATCTGAAAGAACTGCATGCACAGGTCGCGAACGTCACTGGGCTCAGGAACCGAATCATGCCTAGATGGCTGGCTACGCTGAAGTGAGAATGGCGTTATCAAGAACTTTCTTGCTTCAAAAACAGAAAAGGTACTGACGGACTTCGACACATGTCCAGCTCGTACAGCCGAAGAATCAGCCTAGCGGAGCTTGTGAGCGTGCATGCAACTACATCAACACACATGCAGAAACATGTATGTACACAAACATGTGTGAACAAACCCTCGAGAAGGGTTGGGCTTACCAACGGACATGAAAGCTAAGATGCGCTCAAACACGCCTGAAACCCTAGGGGCTTGAGGCCATGAACTCTGAAAACTACATCCCTACTCTTACATCCCACCTTGAGGCCCTGCAGCAAAACGAAGAAGATGCCTCCGACTTCCCAGCAAAGCAATCGTCCTGCCAAAGGGCACGCAGGAGCCCAACCCTCAAACTCGAAGAATCAGAATGCCTTAATCCAGGGCCGCGTGAACTCCTCCAACGTTAACCATGGTACCTTGTTGACACTACTGGTGTGACTGCAGTTTGCTACAGCAAGTACCGTACAACACAAAATGGAATATCCACGAGAGCCTTCAGAACGAAGTTGGGTACATTTTCCTGAAACAATGGGCGACTGAGAAACTTCAACCTCGTGCGAGTCCTTCGCTTGGAGACTGCTAAAGCAGCTGAAAGTCCTTGGGCAGAACATGCTGACAAAGGGACCCCAGGGACGGCATTCAGGCCCTCTGCTCCCACGGTCAACCTTGGCAGCACAAAGTATAGTCCTATTGGCGACTGCAAGAAGACAGACCTTGGACAGTAGAGGTCACGTCAATTGGAGTGGCAAAGTATGGATAGCGTCAGTAAGGCTCTTTTCATCTCAAAATACCAAGACGAACGCGGCAAAAGAACTATCGAATCCATAATTTGTCACATAATTTCCTTAAGCTACTTGGCATTTTTCTGACCATGGAAGCAGACTTCAACAACAGCAGCATTCAGTAGCTACAGCTGCAACACCAAGAAATGTTATTAAGGCGGACAAATGTGAGCTTCGTTCAGACAGCCCTGTTCAAGATTTGCTCATGTCATGTCGAGACAGTCGTCAAGCGAACCACGAAGTCAAGAGTTGAGGAGAGCTGCCATGTGATGCTAATCCACTGTCTCGAAGGATGGGGCGTTGACTGGAAAAGTGCGACTGCCGGGTCTCCTACATGTGCATCGCTTTTTCAGGGCACGCTGTCTTTTTGAGTGTCCGCTTTGGCAAATTATTGAGCGATATTTGTTTGTATCATCTGAGTGGCGATGTCTCCCAAATCCAGCTTTGGATCCCCTGGAACCATGCTGAAAATGTGAAACCGAACTGACGCTGTCACCGGGCTCTTGATCTGATCTCAGTGTACAAATTGAGCGAGACAGGCGGGCGAGTCAGACGTGTTTTCCGCCATTGTGGACAGAGCTGGCATTTGAAGGGGGATTACGTGTCAAGTAGCGCAGTAGCGAAGGAACTCCGCCAAGTGGGCAGTTCTTCGAGAAGAATACAATGATCTTGATAGCGACGGATAACTGCGAGGAAGGGTCCTGCAATCTTTGCGTGCAAGCAGGTAAGCGTGGTTGGAGAAGAGCTGCCATTGGTGACTATGTGTGTACAAGCTTGGCTGCTGGTTGGGGGAAGCTGCTACCTGCCTATCTAAAGCTCTTCCCCTGTCAGCTTCATTCTAGCCCGGCAGTTTGGGATAGAATCGGATAGAACATCTCTCGAGGCAGCTTTGCGTTTAGCTATGCTGAGATGTGAGGAAAGGGACGTCCTGCTGACGGACAAAGTCAGCATGAAGTGAACCTTCAAGCGCGATAATTCCTGATTTCTGTGAACCAATGGCAGGTAGAAGTCCTTCAGTAGGCTGTATGTCGCCTAGCGCTAGGTGCTTGTTAAGCAGAACCTAGCTTGAATTAAGCCTGGAAGAGAAGATGCTTGATCTGTTGACCGGCGCAGACAACAGGTACGTACAGCAACGCCGAATACGAAGCTGTCTCGAAACTTCGCAATAATGACGGCGAAGGACTTGTGTAGGGTTGATATTTCTTTAGTAATTAAGCACGACGTTCATAGCTCCGAGTTGTGGCCACTCCAAGACGAATATGTCAATTTCTTTGATATGTCGGCTACACCAAGCCCGAAACAAATCTTTTTAATCTTATCCAGAGACACACACCGCTCACACAAGAGGCAAATTTTGGCAGGACCCTTAGATTTCAAAGCTCAAAGTGACCTAGAGTTGAGCCAAAATGTTACAACACCTGCCAGGTCACGTGGTCAGCCATGAGCTTGGGAGGCCCGTCTTCCTGATACTCCAGCATGACTTCTTGCCAAGATTTGTCTGGCGCAGTCCTTGCAGGATGGAGCGTTCCCGAATTCAATTGTGTTCGCAGGAATCTTACCACGCAATTCATACCTGAAGTTCACGTTTCCAATCAAATGCAGGGCTTGCAAAGTCCAGCTGCTTCTTTGATTTGTATTTGTATCCAATCCTGAAAAGATTCCTGCAAAAACGGTATGCCCACAATGTCTTCTTGGCTTGCCTCCAGGCTGAAGGTCTTTGCTACGGTTACTGCTTGATAGTATAATTTCGCATCAGCCGCTGCATCTACTACTGCTGCTGCCGCTGGTGTTGTAGTTGTTGCGAGTTGTTTATGACGGCGGTTCATGCAAGTGGCAGTGGTTGCTGGTTGTTGCCATGCTGTCGCTGCTGTTGATATGACTTTCATTCCTCAAACCCCCGCAACTTAAACGGGAACTCATCATACCCCGAAACCCCGACCCCTTGCCTTTTGCCCCCAATCCAGCTGCGAATGTATTTCGTAACGCCTTCCATCTTACAGCACTACTAGTTTTACCAGTCGCTATTGTTGCTGCTGGAGAACCTCACAGGCTCTGAGCACTCATCCGGCGCAATCAGTGCCCACCAAGGAGTTTTCCGAGCTGCAGCCTGGTTTGCCCTTGAATGGTTACGGGATAGGGGCTTAGAGGGATTTGGGATGCGCAGGCTTGCGATTTAATTGCAGTGTATGTGGAGTTTTAAGCCTTTGGGAGAATTTTTTGTGGAGGGAATCTCTTGGATTCCTATTCGAGGAAAGGTGGGAACAGATGGCTTTCCTATAGCCGTTGCACGACTAGCTGTCTTGGCGGGCAGCGGTGGTAGCGCTGAGCGTGAAAACCATCGAGGCGTTGCTCATGTCTGCTGTGCGCGCGATCATCCCTATTGTGCTGGAAACGGAACAAAAATGGCGCAATGATTGCAGTCTGTTATGAATGGCCGTTTTCATTGCTGTCAATTTGTGATCGCCTCTACAAGTCTGCTGTTGTTGCTGTTCTGCTGGCATCTGCTCGGGCACTGTTGCGGAGCTGCGAGACCAACTGTCAGCAATCTGGCAGGCCATGCAAGATCCAGGTACTCGACACCATATATCATATGCTCACAGAGCGACTGTACCGTCGGGTGGTTGTCGGATGAACGAAGACAATCCATTTTGCAGAGTTCTGCCCTGAGGAATTGGAATCTCTGACCTGCTTCCAGATAGGGCCAAAGCTATTGGCGTTACCAGATGCAAATGATGGGAGAACCTACTAAGTTACTAAAATGGCCCTTGCAAGGGCACCCACAGAAAGCAAAGAAAGGAGTGAACCTCAAACTAGCTTGGATACATCTTTCATCCATGTAGCCTACGAGCTTCGAAACTTTTGCTCTCGGAAAGAGGCGACGTGCGCTTTTTGAATCACTTGGAGCTGAAAACCAGCAGGCTAGCCGGGCAGTAGAATTCAGAACTGTCTGGAATTTTTTGTCGGCAAGAAGGACTAATAAGGGATTTGGAGCCTCAATGCAAGCGTGAATGGCCCGCGTTATAAAGCTGCATGCTTTGCGACCCCATGCTTTGCTTCTACACCCAGATCTCTGGCACTCCTTGGGTGAGGAAAACTGAGGGTTTCCCAAATCATCCCGTGACAAGACAAAAATCTGAATGCCCCCCAATTCCTTTAAAGCGCAATCTTGTGAGAAATGCTCTTCCCTCTGCCGCACCGCCACTACGATGCGGAGTGAACAAGAGACCATGATCTGAGAAACCCCTCATGGTGCTCTCAGAAATGGCGCCCGCAGCCACGGCTTTGCTCACCTTGTAAGCTTTGGTGCTTAATGAACATTACTGAGGGGCCGCTTTTCAAGGAGTATTCTCGGGATCGCCTTGCAAAGGTCATCACAAGGGAATTTAGGAGCCAGGCTGCTTGGAACAAATGTTTCGGGGGGGTGGGTGGGTGGGGGGGGGCGGTTAGGTTTATCATCCCGCAGTACAGAGATGAGGAAAACATGTTGTTGGCAGTCATTCAATTCAAGCTCCCATGCTACTTGTGTTCCATGATTGTCTTTGTGTAGCGAGGATCGTCTCTTCAAACAGGGCTTCTGCCCTTAAGCAGGATACTTCAGGACACTGGAGCATAAATATTGGGGCTTTTTAGTAACAACGTGAACGTCATCATCCCGCATGGGTCCGTCTAGAAATGAGCAACAGCTTATGTCCCACCCATCATTGATGCACCAGGTTCTATGCCCAGGTATACCCTAGCTTGAGAGGTCAAAGAGGGGGCCTTCTATATAGGGGTCTTCACGCAGAACCTTGTATTCGCTCAAGAACAAGGTTGCAGCCGAGGACGTCAGTTTATGGTGGCCATTGTTTCTTGATCCAATAACATACAAGCACATGGAGGTTGTTTTTCAGGATTGTACAGTGTTCCGTCCAGCATCTTGAAATCTAGTTCGTTCTTGGGCTGCGCAAGTGTCTACGGCCAACCCTGTTTTGCACAGTGGAAGTTCTGCTTGAGTGTTGAGGTAGTAAGTAGCCTGTGCTGACTCATGGTGCTCTCTTTTCTCTTGGCACCATCCGTGCTCTCATGACGGTGCCTAAGAAAATGAGCCTCACATGCCACCTCCGCCAACTTGTC